TATTATTAAAGTGATTTTAAAGCAGTACCTGGCATATGCACTTTTCTGTGCATTGTGGCATTTGGAGAGACTAGAAACTGGACATTCATGTTTCTTGCCCTTACCCCAGGACCAAGAAGGCTCTCTTGTCCCTCTAGGGAAGAATTAGGGCCAACTGGGGACTGCTGTCATTATGCATTGCTGTGTAACTGACTACTCAAAGTCAGATGATTTAAAACTTTTCCTGCCATTTATTTCCTCATAGTTTTGATATAGGTTAGGGGACTCTGGCTCTGCTTCATGTAACATCTACTGGACACTTGATTTTCAAGCTGCTAGTCGTCAGGAGCCTGGATTCTCTTCCATGAGAGCTTCTTCAGGTGGGTACTTAGGCTCTGAAGGAAATGAAGGCCATGAGGGCCTGTTCATGTTTAGACAACATGGTGCTGATATGGATGTCTGGCATAGGTCAAAATGGCTAATGCTAGACATCCAGAGGGCTAAGAGTCAGCACAAAATGGTTGACACTAGATGGCCGGGGATCCCAAAAGTAAACAAACTATATAACCAGTTTTGGCAAGAAGCCACCTTTGCATGGTTTCCTATTAAAAAAATCCTTGGAACCAAGGACATAAGCACTGTCTCCTCACTAAGAGAAAATAAAGCATGTTTTATTTGCTAGTGGCTTCATGAATCTTTTAAATCTCCCAGCTCCTCTCAAATTCCACTCCTGGCCCCCTGAACTCTGCCTCCACAAGCTCCCTCATAGCATGGAGGCTAGATTCCAAGGACAGAGAGAAAGCCGCTAGTACTTTATACCCAAGACCCAGAGGAGACCGATACCATCAGTACTACTGTGGCCATCAGTCAATGCAGTCACAGGCCCACACCACATGCAGAGAGGTGGAAAAAGACTCTGCCTCTCAGTGAGGGAAGTAACAAAGACTGTGCACCATCTGTAAATGAACCACATAAGCCATGGAAAAGGCTAAGCACAGACTGTCAAAACAGAACACTGTAGAAGGGCAACTTCAAGGTGTCAGTGAGAAAGTGTGTGTCCTTGCAAGAAGAAAGGAAAAAGAAAGTTGGGAACGTCAATGTTTCTGGTGACTTGCTGGTAAAGTGACAGAGACAAAGATTCTTTCATTACCATCACTACCATACTCCACACTCCTGGCGTTACTATTAAATTTGTTTGTTACTAAATAACAACAACAACAAAAACTTATATATAAGAAGCCCAAAATTTAAAAGATTTACATTGCAATTTATTTAACTTGAAGAGAACAGGATATTTATTATATGCAAAATAGTAGATCCTAAATTACTATAAAGTTATATAAAACACTTTCTTAAGGAGAAAATTCAACCAACTTGGTAAGTTGTATTAGTAACTTTTCTTCTTGCTGTGACCAAACACCTGATGAGAAACAAGGAAGTTGTTTATTTGGGCTCAAGTTTCAGGAGATGGAGTCCATTTTGAGGTATGGTGTTGGGAGCATGAGGCTGGTCTCATGGCATCTGCAGTCAGGGAGCAGAGAGAGATGGATGCTAGTCTCCAGCTGGCTTTCTTCTTTTTATTCAGTCCAAACCTTCATGTGATGCTGCTGCCCATGTTCAAGTGGGTCTTCCCTCCAGTTAAACCATTCTAAAAACAGTTAAGCCTTTAACAAAAACGCCCAAAGATGTGTCTCATTAATGTCCTAGGTGTTTCTTAATCCAATCAAGTTAGCAATAAAAATTAACCATCACAGAAATATTAGAAAAGCACGTGCCAAGCACTGGGTGTTATGGATAGGGCAGGCAAAGCTGGAAAAGACCAGTCCCTTGTGGGGACTATAGTCTAGTAGAGGAGAAAGAGCTGAACACGAATAACCCAAGCTCTGTAAATGACAAACTGTGTATGTGTCTAAGAAAGAAGGAAAATAAGCACTCCAAAGTCTTAATAATCGCACGAAGAGTGGTCTTTTGTTTTCTTCTTTCTTATACTTTATACTCGAATTTTTTCAATGAACATTAGTGGGGCTGGGGAAAGGGCTCAATGGGTAAAGTGGCTGACGAGCAAACCTGAGGACCTAAGTGTCCCCGACTGCTTTCCGCCTCGCCGGCAAGAACGACGCGGGAGGACAAGTCAGGATCCTTCTGCAGCAGTTTATTTCATAAGCCTCTTACATAGCATACTAAGGACGAAGACTGAAGACGCCGAGAAGTGGGAGAGCTGTTGCTTATATATGCCCTAAAGGTCCCATTTATGACGTATAAGAAGCGGATTGGTTGCTGGAGATCACGCCACGGGAGGAGGCGAGGGAGAGCAGGCTCTTGTGCACGCCCCTTATGGGTGTGGCAGGATGTTTACTATTAAGAAGGTCCGGATACCGGCGCCATCTTGTAATGGCGGCGGAGGCTGTGGCTCTCCACATGAAACAGACGCAATCTTCTCTCCAAGAAAGTCACACACTAAAAATACAAAAGTTAAGGCATATAATACCATAAACGTTTCTTGAGCATTTCATGTAATACTGTGAATACAGGAGTTATTGTTTTATCCACAAGGTAATTATAAAAACCCAATAAATGTATCACTCTCTCCTGATTTCCCCAAGAATCATTGAGTGCCTCC